GGGAACCGGTCTCCACATGGGATCCGAACCCTTGGTGGGAGCGCCGCTGTGCTCTCAAGCGGCGCACTCTCCAGTGCGCCACCGGGCCGGCCCCAGAGATAATAAGTTTTTAAAAAGTCATGTGTTGCTCAATGACAGGGATATGTTCTGAGCAATATGTTATTAGGTGATTTTGTTGTGCAAACATCACAGTGTGTACTTAGACAAATCTAAATGGTATAGTCATTATAATTTTATGGGACCACTCCTAGGCTGTATGGTACAGTCATTATAATCTTATGGGACCACTGTCAAATATGCAGTCTGTCACTGACTGAAGTGTTGTTATGTGGGCCATGACTGTGTATATGAGGGACTTCAAAAAGTTTGTGGACAAATGGAATTTAAAAATAACATGAATCTTGGGCCAGCCCGGTGGCGCACTGCTACAGTGCGCCGCTTGGGAGCGCGGCGGCGCTCCCGCCGAGGGTTCGGATCCCACATACAGACCGGTTCCCACTCACTGGCTGAGCGAGGTGCGGGCGCAACACCGAGGGTTGCGATCCCGTTGCCGGTCCTGGTCCGGTACGGGCGCGACACTGAGGGTTGCGATCCGTTGCCGGACACGAAAAAAGACAAAAAAAAAAAAAAGGAAAAATAATATTAATCTTTCCATGAACTTTTTGAAGTGCCTTTGTAAAGGTGTACAGTGAAAAATCTCCCCTGCCTTGTCTACTATTTTATCTAGTTCCCACCTCTTTCCCCAGTAACTAACCATTGTATTTAGTTTCTTATGTATGTAGCGTTTGAAAATTTTTATTAACATTGAAGCAAATATGAATATATATTTTCTCTCTGCATACTTTTTACATAAGTGAAAGCATAATGTATACATTGTTCTGTATCCTTGATTTTTTTCACTTAACAATGTATTTTGAATATTGGTTCATATCACAGCATAAAGAGCTTTCTCATTCTTTTTTTACAGTTGCGTAGAGAATGTACGAATTTTTCATATGGAAATATATATTTTTAACTTTTTGGGATCAGTGATCCATCCAACTTGGTGTTGTCTTTTTGACTGTGGTACCAAGAAACATTTTGTGGCATCCTGTGATATCTTTGAAATACCTATGAAATATTTTTATAACTTTTGAGTATAATTTTGAAAAGCTCTAACTTATTTAAAAAATGAGTTAATAGCCTAATGTTTTATGGAAGTACCAAAACTTTTCAAACTCTTATTTTAGGGACAAAAATATCCATAGTTTTACTTCATAGTCTCTAAAGATGTGTTTTATTTTGTTTGGTTTCAAATAATATATTATTTGGTTGGCAAAGAATAATACATTTGTATAGTGTTTGATGTTTTACCAAGCACTTTTATATCATTTATTTTATGTAATTTATTCTTTATGACTAGCCATTAAGTTGGTATCTTATAATAAAGAATAAGAAAAGTGGAGCTTAAAGAGATTGTACCTTACTTAGGATCCCATAGCAAGTAAATGTTAGACAAGTTAAGTTTTAATGAAAGAATGAAAGAGGCAGATTGAGGTGGCAGTAGCTGGGAAGCATAGAGAACACTGAACATATAAGGTAACTAAGTATGTGGGAAACATGGGAAGCAGAAGTAGATGAGACAAATACCAAAGTTTAATTCTTCTATGAGTTTGCCTTATATTTATATTCTATTTTATACATATAAAATAAGAGTTAAATACATATGAATATCAAGAGAGTATTTAAAGTGAATTGCACTGTGCTATATCTTTGAATAAAAAATGCCAGGTATCTATACTAATTTTTTGAATTATAGTTTAAGTTTATCACTTAGAATTTGATTGTATCTAAACTGAAAATATTTTCTTTTTATAGAGATTAATAAACTTGGAAAGGCCTTAGACAAAGTCTCCAATGAAAAATTGATGCTGATGATGTAAGATGCATACTGAAAGGCCTGGAGATTTATTTCCCAGAGGAAGAATTAGAGGAGGTTCTCAGATCCATTTCTTTTGATAGTATTTCCTTTTCTGAGTCATTTGTTAAATATAAAGCTCGTGTTTACTCTCACTCATAAATCCATAGAGCTGAATGATTAGGAGTAAAACATAATGAGTTTAAAAACACTAGCTGGGTGAGAATTTGTTTTGGATTATCCTAATGTTGAGTATCCTAGGGAAGTATAATCTTTCTCTCTATTCCCCATTTCTTTGCCTCCTGAGGTTTGAATCACAGGTTCTAATCGGTCTGAAGCTGTTTTGTGCCGAAAAAAAAAAAAAAAGAAGCTGTAAAGCTGTCACAAGCCCATGAAACGAAGGCCTAATCCTTCGTGTCATGATACACACAAGCAGTTTGGTTCCCCTAGAATCCTCAAAAGGTTACACTGATGTTTTTGGAATCTGGCCGATGGAATATTTAGCTTACATGCAGAGCCTTGTGATTTTTTTTATTCTTAAGTTTTAGGTATATGACTGATAGAAAGTAAAAGACTACACACTTCCTTCATTAATATATCTTTGCTCATAAGTATACCTTAGATATTACGGTTGAATTTGGTTTATAGTACTTATCTTCTGGTGGATAAATTGCCTTCCATGAAAATATAAGCAATTATAGTAGGACTTGTGGCCTCTAATGCAAAAAAAACCCCAAAGCAACAAATAGTCACTTGTAGAGTGTCTAGGAGAGAACAACAGAATTGAGCTAAACAGTGAGGAAACCACCTCTCTCCCCCAAGACCTGGAAACAGGAGAAAATCCCAACCAGGACCAGCAGAGTCTGCTGGGCAAAGTAGGTTGGGGCAGGGGCTGTTGGTGGCTGGTGCACAGTCCTCGCTGGACTATGAGCTCAGTGTGTGGAGCTGCTAAGAGTCTACATGACTGTATTCCAGAGAGAAACTACACGCAGAGTCACCCCGACCCACCTCAGCCCTGGGCTACCACTGGATTTTGCCATTTTGGGATAGGCACCTAGGGAGCTCACAGTCCCACTAACCCAGTGGTCCCACACACCCCAGGGGAGAGCAATGGTTCTGTGTGCTGGCTGTCTGGATACATGCCCTCCTTCTCTGGGAGCTCAGAGCTCTGCTTGACATAGGGGAATCACCAGTGCAGAGGAGAGTGGGGAAAGTGCACTAGTCATCTCGATCTATGCCCTCCTTCCCCTGGGAGCTAAGAGCCAGTACTGGGAGCTCAGAGCCCCATCCAACTCAACTCCCTGCCTCCACCCCNGGTTGAATTTGGTTTATAGTACTTATCTTCTGGTGGATAAATTGCCTTCCATGAAAATATAAGCAATTATAGTAGGACTTGTGGCCTCTAATGCAAAAAAAACCCCAAAGCAACAAATAGTCACTTGTAGAGTGTCTAGGAGAGAACAACAGAATTGAGCTAAACAGTGAGGAAACCACCTCTCTCCCCCAAGACCTGGAAACAGGAGAAAATCCCAACCAGGACCAGCAGAGTCTGCTGGGCAAAGTAGGTTGGGGCAGGGGCTGTTGGTGGCTGGTGCACAGTCCTCGCTGGACTATGAGCTCAGTGTGTGGAGCTGCTAAGAGTCTACATGACTGTATTCCAGAGAGAAACTACACGCAGAGTCACCCCGACCCACCTCAGCCCTGGGCTACCACTGGATTTTGCCATTTTGGGATAGGCACCTAGGGAGCTCACAGTCCCACTAACCCAGTGGTCCCACACACCCCAGGGGAGAGCAATGGTTCTGTGTGCTGGCTGTCTGGATACATGCCCTCCTTCTCTGGGAGCTCAGAGCTCTGCTTGACATAGGGGAATCACCAGTGCAGAGGAGAGTGGGGAAAGTGCACTAGTCATCTCGATCTATGCCCTCCTTCCCCTGGGAGCTAAGAGCCAGTACTGGGAGCTCAGAGCCCCATCCAACTCAACTCCCTGCCTCCACCCCAGTGGACAGTGAGCAGGGTCTGTGTCACACTCCCTCCACTGCTGGATGCCTGCTTGGATCCACACCCTTCTACCCTGGGGGCTCAGAGTTCTGCCTGATGCAAGGAACCTGCCAGCACCAGCAGAGAGCCTGCTGGGGTGTATGCAATCTGCCTAGATCCACGCCATCCTCACAGGGAGCCCAGTGTGCCATGTGACACAGTGGCCCACCTGCACCAATGGAGAAGGTGTGGGAAGCAAGCTGCACTTACTGCTGTGCTCACCAAGAGCCAAACCTATGAAGCCCAATCCAACTATCAATATAAGACATTTCCACAGGTACGAGTCTCTCCAGTCAAAAACCACTATAAAAATTAAAAGAAGTGACTACACCACCAGATGCCCAGACATCAATGCAGAGATATGAGAAACATGAGAAAAACAGGGAGACATGACTCCCCACAAAAAAGACTACAGTTCTCCAATACCAGACGTTAAACAATAGGAAACTGGTGAATTGCCTGAAGAGGAATCCCAAATGGCAATACTAAAGAAACTCAACATGACGGATGAAAAAATAGAAATCACAGTGAAGTCAACAAAACAATCCAGGACGTGTATGAGAAATTCCACGAAAGTTAAAAAATAACCAAGGAGAAATCCTGGAACTGAAGAATTCATTCAATGAAATAAAAAATACAACTCTTATAACCAGCAATCTAGAACAAGCGGAAGAAAGCATTTCTGAGCTAGAAGATAGGCTTTTTGAATTAATACAGTTGGACCAAAAAAAAAAAAAAAGCATTATAGAAGGACTTGTAATGCTAGAAAAATTTACAGAATATACAATCAGAAAGGAAACATACCAAAATAATGGCCCCAGTTGGTTAGGCATCTGCGAAATCCATAGAATGCTCATTGGCTCTACAACAGAAAAGACCACAAGAGACATCATAACCAGATTGCTTTTCATAGTTACTCTGAGGTGCGTACAACAGAATCAGAGTTAGAGAAACACAGGACTAACTTTAATTTTGAAAGTTAAGTAGGCATGCATATCTTCTGACCCCATTCTTCTGTATCTTTTGACTGAAGACCATTCATTTCTTTTTGTTTCATTTTCAGATGAGAGGAAATTGGACTTAAAAGATTGCCTGAGTAGTTTGATGCAAATGCCATATTTTACTAAAAGTTCAAGTGAGTGAGAATTTTTTAACAATAAAAATTTTGAGTGGAATTGTTCAGTTTTGATTATATGCATTTGTGCAGTTTTCTAATGCTGTAAAACAAGTCATATAAATAACATATGTTTTTTGGGTAAAAAATCAATAGAGGATCCTAGTCCTGATCTTTTCTTGACTTATATTTTCTGGAATTATAGTATATTTGTCCATCACCTAAAAAGGATAAATAAACAAAATCTATCTGGATAATTCATCCTAGTGTCCAAGTTTGTGATCCAAGATAGCTGCCATCAGCTGGCAATGTCTTTGCCATTTCACTGAAATCCTGTGGGAATAAGCTCAGTGTTACATCCTCTTTTTCTACTCTATTATCCCTTTATAAAAATAGGGTTTTATAATGAGATTAACTATTGAAACATGTAGGAACATACAGGCTTCCTTCATGGTATTCTTCCCACTAATCCACTACCACAGCCATGCGGCATTCGATGTCATCTGGTTTTAATGTAGTTAATTAATGAGCATCTGCAACTTCAAGAGATGTCTGTGGAGATGCTGGGTCTCCTCAAAGTTTAGGCCAGTTGAGCCCAAGTTAGTAAATTCACAACTACTTTGGATTCCCTGGGTCTCCTTGGAGCAGCCCATATTCTTGAGAAGTACTGAAATGGCTTAATTTCTTCTGGACTAGTTCCATAATTGAAACTAAACTAAATTCAAAAGGCCCAATTTAGGCAGACCCAAAATAAAATGATTTTTCAGAGCCTAGATGTTAAGAATGTGGCCAAAGCAGTATTTGTTTTCAATAGACAAAATATTTTGTCCTTAATCCTTGCTTTTCTAATGGGGCCTAAAAGACTTTACTTGGTATGTGGTTCATAAGCTTAAACTGTTACAGGACTAATGTTTATGAATGCTAGTGCTTGTCATAATACAATACTTAAAATTTTCTTCTTACTTGAAAGAATATACATGGTACTTTCAAAAATAAATATTGCCTTTTTTGGTATTTATATATTAATGCCAATCTTTTCATTATTTGGCAGACATTTTTGTGTGCATATATTGGTATATGCAAGTGATCCCCTAAATGAAAAAAATTGAGAATAGTCACATCAAACTATCACTATTTATCCAATTTTTGGCAAAAGAGTTACTTTTATGATTAGATACTATGGTTTTTATTGAATTCTAAGCCTCAGATATGATAGAAGCATATAAGCAGATGTTCTGAGATTTGTTTTTATGTAACCATTCTTAAATCTCAAGTTTAAATAGTCATGCATTGCTTAATGACAGGGATATGTTCTGAAAAATGCATGATTAGGTGTTTTCATCATTATGCAAACATAATGGAGTGTACTTGCAGAAACCTGGATGGTGCAGTCTACTGCATACCTAGGCTATGCTGTATAGCTTATTGCTGCTAAGTGAGTAATATGTTGCATTGTGACCTTACAGCAGCTATCATGTCACTAGGCAATAGGAATTTTTTAGCTTCATTATAATCTATGGGACCACCATTATATATGTGGTACATCACTGACCAAAATATTGTTATGAAACATATGACTATCTGTAAATGACATGGTTTGCATAATGGTTAAACATTCTGCCTAAGAATTCAGATATTCTTGGACCGAATAGCTTTTCTTTTTTTTTTTTTTCCTTTTTGTCTTTTTTACTGACCGGTAACGGGGATCGCAACCCTCGGTGTTGCACCCACACTGCGCTCAGCCAGTGAGCGGGAACCGGTCTCCACATGGGATCCGAACCCTCGGTGGGAGCGCCGTCGCACTCCCAAGCGGCGCACTCTCCAGTGCGCCACCGGGCTGGCCCCAGAATAGCTTTTCTAAGGCTAGGATTTTTTTATCTGTTAAATAAGGAGATGTTAGTGCTGACCTCATGGAGTTTTTGTGGAATTAAATGAGATGGTACATGTAAAGCACTTAGTATAGTGCCTAGCAAGCTCAGACTGAATACTCAATAAGTGGTAGTAGCAGTAGTTATTGTTATCATCCAGGACCTACTACTGATATTTGAGTATTTTTAAGAACTTCCTGCATTGTGTACATTTTTTACGTGTAGAAATAGAAGGCCCCTTGAAAGCTCTGGCCTCCATTAGGAAAAATGTGGCCAACCTGATGACCTTGGCTCCATGATGAAACATATAGGCGTTCCATTACCCCAAGATGTGATTGAAAGAGCACGAAAGAATGTTACTCTTTGGGATGAGTATTTAATATGTTTCTAGGTATTCTTTATCTCAGCTAACATGAATCTATTTGAACTTTTCAAGAATCCTTAGAGGGTTTATCTGCTTCATGGATTATCCAAGGCTTTCTTTTACCTGCTCCCCATCTGGGTTATTGTCAGCTGGGTTCCAGTTATTTTCAGTAGCAGCTGCAGAGGAGGACCTATGGGGGATGGGTGTGTGTGACTGTGTCTGAATGATATGCATGCATCTGTTTTTCTGACTGAATATGTATCTCTAACTATATTTCAAATCTATGAAATATTTTTTAGTATAGCAATTATACTATAGTTGCCTTTAGAAAAAGTATTTGATCATTTACTTTTGCCATGCCTTCAGACATGCATTTTTCTTTCAGAGGATGGGACAGTGAGTTTAGAAGAGTTTATGGGTATTTTGGTCAATTCAAGATTTTCATCTCTACCTGAAGGTAAGAATTTTCAGTTGAATGGAGATAATGATATGTGTGTTGTAGATCTCTTGAGAAAACCCCAGATAGGCTTTTGAGATAGTCTTAAACTTAATTAATACTGGCATAATTTTCTAATGTATTTGTGTCATGCATGTCTAATGTGTAGCACAACTAGAAAAGACTGATCTTTAGGGAAGACTAGTTATCTCTTCCGCCTAGTTTAAGCATCAGAGTCTTGACAGCAAGTGTCTTTGACCAAAGACCTTATGAAGGTAAAAATAATATTAGTTAAAAACAGCTGAACACGGCACTTAGAATTAGGCTATTTGCAAACTACAGTTATTAAAGTGTAATTGTATGAGCCATATTAACATATGATAAACATTGGGTTCCTGATATTAATTTATAATTCATCTTTACTGAGAAACTGGTGAAGACCTTTATGGTTAATATTAGGATAATTTTCGTTCATGTTTCAATTTCTCTTCTTTTGTTATTTGTACTTTGTTTTCTCTGGTTATTTCTTTGTATGGACCCCCTTTTTTCAGATTCTCCTTATAAACTAACTCAAAGTTTAATTTTAGTAGAATGTTTGTCAATTATGATGTTAGCGACCCTTTTCTTCTTTTGGTTTGCATAGTATTTCTGTAATTTCAGGCCTCCGGGTTCTCTGATGAGCTGTTCTTTCTTGAACTTACAGTACTGAAAAGAAAGAACTGTTTTATATTTTGTCCTTTTAGGTGAGAAGAATAATTCTGATTTAAAGCTGAAACTATATTCGTTTTCTAATCACTTCATACTGCACATTTTAAAATGTCTTTTATAGTTGCAGAAGCTTGAGGTTTACTTCTTTGACCATTTCCCAACTACTTCTCCATAGGTGCACATGTATAGCTTTGACAAACCAAAAATTTTATGAAGAGATATTTTTGTAGAACTACCTTCTTTGGGGAATCTTCCTAATAATATACCTCATCTGTTTTTGAGAGCTGGCATTAAAAACAACCACATGAAAATGACGGTATCTTCTAAAGACATTGATGATGATGTTATTTGTGGTGAATATGAAAAATGTCTCTTGAAATTTCATATTAGAAAAAATTTATCTCTTCCAGAGGACCAGTGTGCTTCTTTGTCTTGATAATAATCCGAGTTCCTCTTCACTCCTTAGCTATCAAGAAGGTCAGACCTAAATTTAATATCGCTATAACTACATTCTCTTTGTTATTTGCTACATTCTTTTCATGTATTTTTGAATTTTATTTCTATTTCTATTTTAAATATATTAATTTTTCATTGAATAATTCCTCAAATTGTTTTGGGAAGTAATTTGGTATAAATTATAAATAGCATATAAAAAATTGCTATCTGTGAATGCTGGCCCATGGGATACTAATTGCTATGTCATAAAAGAGTTTTGTGCCTAAATTTGGGAGACACTGGAGTAGAAAACAAAGTTAAATTTCTCTGCTGCTAGGCTATTCAGAGCTTTTATATGTTTAAAAGTTTGGTATTGGGCCGGCCCCATGGCTTACTCGGGAGAGTGCGGTGCTGGTAGTGCCGAGGCCGCGGGTTTGGATCCTATATAGGGATGGCTGGTGCACTCGCTGGCTGAGCGTGGTGTGGACAACACCATGCTGAGGGTTGCGATCCCCTTACCCGTCAAAAAATTTTTAAAAAGTTTGGTATTGTTGAAATACAGCAGACCCTGAATCTGCTAGAATCACAGAACTCTTTTCTCCATGTTTTTTTTGAATATTTGATAAATTATAAATTATAAAATATTCTGACACAAAGAAAAATATAGAAAATAACAGATTTAATGGATTTTTAACATTTTTCTATATTCGTGTTGGACTTTTTGGTTTTTGTTTTTTTGTTTTTTGTTTTTTGTTTTTTCCTTTTTGTCTTTTTTTTTACTGACTGGTAACAGGATC